TGTGAATGTGGTAGATGAGTCAGACGTGTGGACACGAATTGGGTGTGGATTTTGTGAGGTACTTTGGCTCCGGGTTTGCCTCACTTGACTGCAGAGACGACCATTTGNGGCTTCGTGCGTGCAATAGTGGACCCACCCATGCGTGGACCATTGAGGGCAGGGGATGGCGGAGTAGGGTGGGGTGTGGCGGGCGTCCACGCATACGGACGCACGCACACGTGCACAGGCTAGTGGAGAGGCCGTGGAACAGACAAATTAGTTTAACCCATTGGTGTCTGTCTCACCTGCGCATGCACACGTGCCCTCAGCACCGATTGGTTCAATTGTTTGGCCCGTCTCTATCGATTGACTACATGAGCCAATCATATTCGTCTTCATTCAAATTGGGTCACATCACGTACACTCGAAACAGGGTGGTATGACACGAGGCCTCAGGCCATTGAGTATGACTCGTGTACCACGGTGCTGCTGCCGTTGCCGTTGTTTTGATGTTGTTGGTGGGTGGTTGCCTAACCAGTCGTCATCAGGTAGTGAACTACCAGCTGTTTCTAGCACCAGGTTGAGAGAATCAGTGAAAATAACACTCGATGTAACTTATCGATTGAACCATATGTGAACTCATTTAGCTCGTGTGTGTGTGTGTGTTGATGTGTCATTCCTTACAGTGCCTTGCTCATCTGGTATTAGAGGAATTTGTGAATGAATCAACGATCTTTATAATTTGTCTGAAATTTCGATACCATTATTTAGTTCGGGCTTCGCGTGTTTGTAATAAACACGAACCATCCGTAGGGCATGGCTACAGTAGAGCTGATACCAAGGTATCAACGATTCCATTCAACAAGTACAAAATATCACTCAAAGAGATAAATGAAAATTAAATGACAAATATGAAAAAACCAGAGACACTGAAGCATCATAGAGCATCACTTGAGCATCATTTTCATTCCAATAGGTTCCAAGACGGACATCCGTCAAGTTTTGATAGAAGAAAAAATGTTCGATACCGGAGAACCTAATCAGACAGATTTGGTTATCGAGGTGCGTTAGGCATATTTTCACACCACTCTAAAATACTAAAGCAAACAAATGGACAATTATCTAACAGTTCATTTGCTCCAATCATGTCAACACTTCATTTCCTTACTTATTGATTTTCCGTTTGCCATGTCACACTTCCTCAGTATTGATATTGCATTAAATCAAATAATTGGAAATGAATATTAACTCTCAAGAATCTCACTTGCCGCTTCTCCAAATGATAACCATCTCAACGAGATAAACATTTTGTAAAGGACTGGAGGATGTGTCTAGTTCCTTTTCATCTTCATTCCACACTAGTGTGTGACAGAAATGAGCACAAATTAGTAANTTAGTAAATGGGAATACAATAGAAGGATGTTCCGAACGCTTTAATAGATTACTGCGACGGGCACAAAAAAGAATGCGCTGATAGTTATACGCGATTTTGTGGGATGACATTTCAGTGGACTAGTTCATTACTTTGGGATGACAGAAGCGGAACTATCGCTGATGAAAATGTAATTTTACATAATTATCAAGGGCTGTTGGACTATTTGGTTTGTGTTGTTATTTGTGCTGAATGTGTGCGGTAGTTTGAACTCTAGAGTCTGAATGGTTAGCATGTGTTGTGAAAGTACTGCCAGTGGACAAGGTGGTGGCTTTATTGATTGAAGCAATATTATGGAAGAATCGCTTTTCCAACTTGTGGGTGTTTGAAGCGAACAGAGTAGATTATTGTAAACTTGTTGGGTTTAAAGGAACCCAAAGTTTACGGAGCCTTGGTCTTTCCTGTTCAGCCAAGTCAAGAAACCGCGTTAATTCACCCCATAAGGAATGACTATTCAGCTGCTGCATAAACACTCGGAAAACGAGAGACGGCTGTTTGCTCTGTGTTCCGACCACCACCTATTCCTCGCCATTACGAACTATAGGTGCTCTAACTGCCGGTGTGCCACCTGGAGTTCACCCTACTCGAGTGGGAGACGAATGCAGATTGAACAAGCCAAGCTATAAGCAACAAATGACGGGGTTGTATACAAGATTGCTGATTGTGCCCTCGAATCCGATCCCGTCTTAGTTTGCACCCAGCTATCCATGTGCACGACACAGCGGCGGTTAGACTGCGATAAGTTGTCTCAACCAGTACGCCCAACTATCTTTTAGAACACGCTGGCTGAAAAGTTAGAACCAACCCCACCGGATGACAATATCCAGGACTGGTCGCTTATCAAGAATACTATGCCTTCTGCTGGCTTAGTTGAGGTCTGACACGCCGTGCCGCGACACCCTGGAGTTCTGTGGAGTCTCCATGCCTTCTCGACGCACGCCGATCAATTCCGACCGGCAGCGAACATAATGAAATACGACTCATAATGAGTCATAACCTCAACTCAAGCCTACGCAGAGACGGCGAGATCTGGTGGACTCAACGAGCGTCAGAGACAGAATGTGGTGCCGCCACGGGAAACGTCCGTAAGCTGTTTCATCTCATCTGGTTCACTGGTAGGAGAGCCTTAGATGTGAGTAAAACGATCCGCGAAGCTGACGGTTCACCCATTCACAATCAACAGCCACGTCTTGAACTCTGAGCGGAGCACTTCAAGGCACAGTTTAGATGACCACCAATGTCAGCTTTTCACACATCTATTCCGGCACGCGTCCCATGGTCGGTCTCAACAGACCCACCTTCTGAGGCGGAAATCCGTAAGGAGCTCCAAGCTTTGGTACGTCACAAAGGGCCGGGCTCCGATGGCCTTCCCCTGGTTATATTTAAAGATGGTGGAACAAATCTTTTTAGAGAACTCCACGTCCTGTTCTCCAAAGTTTGAAACACTGAGCAGGTCTCCTGCTCGTGGGGGAATTGATTGTTGTCCCAATCTTCTAAAAGGGCCCGCGCAATGACTGCGCCAATCATAGGGGTATAAGCCTTATCATAATAGCGTCAAAACTGTTCGTGTCCGGTATTCTCCACCGATTGTACGCTTTGCGTAAGGAGCAGACCCGCTAGGAGCAGGCTGGGTTTCTCACCGGTCGTGGATGCGTTGATCAAATCTTCACCCTCCGACAGCTGATAGAGTACCGTCGTGCCTATCTGAGACCAACGATCATTGTATTCTTAGACATCCACGTGGCCTTCGACTCCGTTGATGGGACCGCATTATGGAACTGTTTGTTAAGGAATGGAGTACCTGAGAAGTATGTGTCGATTCTGATGTATCGTTATACATCAGGTCGGGTTAGGACCTATGGTCAGCTTTCACCACCCTTCGCCGTCCCCAGTGGAGTTGGACAAGATTGCCCTATATCCCCATTCATTTTCAACATTGTCATAGAGGATGTTCTACAGAATGCTTTGTCTAGTCCAGCAAACGGTGGAGTCTAACTCCTCCCAGAGAACAAAGTTCTTGATTTAGAATATGCCGATGACATCGCCTTTCTGTTTGACAACACACGGGCTGTCTAAAACACTTGGCGATGGAGGTATCCAGGTATGGTATGTGCTTTACACCTTCCAAGTGCTAAGTGCTTTTGCAAGACTTGCAGGAGCCTGTACTTGCACTCACCCTCTGTGATGATCAACTGGAATAAGTTGAGAGCTTTAAGTACCTCGTAGGCTTGATCGCAGCTGATGGTGGTGTTGTAGAGGAGATCACAACACGATTAGCGAAAGCTAGAGCAGCTTTTGCCAACCTGTGACACCTGTGGAAGGGTTTACATCACCGCAGTTCGTAGTGTTTTGCTTTACGGTTGCGAGACCTTCTGTATTTGACTACCGATGTCTCGGCAGTATTGCTCGCGTCTGGTGGGAACACCTGAGTACTGACAAAGTTCGACGTCGTGTGCTGGGTGCAACTAATCGTTCTCTAACAGACGTAATCGCTCGACACCGCCTCCGATGGCTCGGTCACGTATTGCTTATGCCTGTCCATCGACTACCTTTCCATGTTATCCTCGCACGTTCCAGGTAAGGTGGGAGAAGCGCGGCGGCGGTCAGACCATGACATAGCGTAGAGGTATGAAGAAGCTAGCTTCAGCTCTAGCTTTGGGTGTTGCAGCCCGCCTTCCAGGTTGGTGCCCAAGGGATGAGGATTGTCGTTGGTTAGAGACGCTGAGAGATATGGCGTAGAATAGAAGTCAGTGACGCGAATGTTGCACGGTTTGACTATCGAAATCCCGTGCTCCATAGAAAAAAGACCAACTGACGCACACAAATTTCAAAAATGTACGATGAAAGAAAAACTTTTTTATCC